ATTTTTAGATGTTCGGACGGGAGCGCACGGCGCAGACACAGGTAAGTGAAAAAGTTGTTTTTTTTTATCGTTTTGCATATATCTAATGCTTGCTAGCACTTTTATATTTGTATATACAGTATACTAGATTTAAAATTATGAATTTAGTGGTCCATGAGGTCCGAAAGGTTGGCGACCGCTGCTCTAGCATGTAGTGCTGTGGTGCTCTGATGTGCAGTAACGTAAGGTCCATTGTCAGTTGCTATGTCTTAAAGTAGCTATACCTCGCCCAATGAAAGTATTAAGACTGTTTTGAGAATTGGTTGCCACAATCAAGCAGGAATCAGTTGTTCTTGGTCATTATTTCTTTCTAGGGTTACTGTGGTAATGATAACATATGATGTTATCACTACCACAGTAAAAAGAATAAAAAGATAAGCAGTAAAGAGATGAGCAGTTTTTAAAATTTATATTGCATTTTGGTTAGGTTTTTTTTTTTAGTTGGACAGTTGCTGCCCTGTGTCACGCCTTTGCCAGGGATCAATCCAGGGACCTTCTAGAGCAACCGTAGGGTTCTGATTTGGTCCTGACCTCTGTTCCGTAAAGGTGGCCATACACTTTACAACCATTGCAAGACCTTAGTCTTGCAATGGTTGTAAAGTACGATCTGCCCATCTTGGACAGGCAGATCGTACTTGCGATCATCGCAAGCCCGCCCCCTGAGGGGTGGGCTTCCGATGACCGCAATGCTTACGATCATGCTAAAAACCAGCCAAAAATCGTACGATTCTTGGCTGGTGTTCTAGAATGCTCCTTAGACAAAAGACGTGCGACCGTACAGTAAAAACGGTTGCACGCCTTCCATACACTTTGCGATTATCGTACGATTGTGGGATTTCCCACGATTATCGTGCGATAATCGAACAGTGTATGGGCACCTTTTCACTGTATGGGGCTCTGACCCCACCCACTGGTCAGCTGCTGGAAATTACCTAACCAGACACCTATAAATACTGTCCTCCCCTTCCTGTTTTTGCCCAAGTATAGGTTTTGCCTTGTGCGTACCTGGGTGTGCCTGTCTTCTGTGTTATTGGATTTCTGGATTCCAATCTTCTGCTTGTTCCTCACCTGCCTTTGGATTGCCCTCTTGTACCGTATTGTTGTTGACCCGGCTTGGACTTTGACACTGCTTCTCCTGCATTTCCCTTTGTACCTATTGCCTATGGTTTGTTGCTGACCCAGCCTGGATTTTGGTGCTGAGTTGTTATTTCCTTTTGGTACTGCGCTATTCTACTTACTGGTACTGACCCTGACTGACACCATACTGTGAGCAGCTCTCTTTCTATTGTTACATTATTACTGACCCTGGTTGCCTGCACTTCCCTCACTAGGTCCCTATATTTTCGGCTACAAGATTCCTGTCATTCCACCTGATACTGGGATAACAAGACTACCGGTCAGGAAATTGGAGTGACGGGTGGGAACTCTTGGCAGGCCTGACACCCTGTCCCTACACATGGTTTTCCAGCTCATATGGAAGCACATAAGAGTGTTACATAAGAAACCATAGTTCGGCCCCTTTCATATGGGCATTGCAATCAGATCCGCCTGTCAGTTTTTCAAGCGGACCTCATCGGAAGCAGAATCTTAGTCAATTGGTAGCCGAATCTAAATAGACATCCTGTTACCCCTGACACTGGCCAGGTCCAGAAAAACAAACGGAACAGTGTTCGGTTTTGCCAGACCTGATCGTGCCGGATCAGGGGGTAATGTGATGTAAACGGACACATGTCCCCTACTCCCCATAAACCAACATGGGTCTGGAAATGTCATTTTTTGGGGGGAAAAAAAAACTGGACAGACATGGATGTCAGAACAGTGACATCCATTCTCGGCAGCAAGGGATCTGTGCAATCTCCTCCTGATCAAAATATGTGAAAGGGGCCTTAAAGTGTATTTCCACTTTTGCGTCAAATTTGAGAAAACATCCCCTATATGTTTGTGTTCCCATTCACATGGAATACCTAAAAGTATATTTTTTTAAAATTTTACCTTTCTATTTGTTTGTTTGGAGCAGGCCTTTGGGCAGACTGATAACTATTCTGAACAATTTCAAAGTTAAAGTGGAGAGACAAAGTGGGGACAGACCTGAGGTTCCCCTCATTACCATACAATGCACCAACCAAGCCCTGAGAGCTTCAAAGGAGAACTATGGGGTTAGGGCTTTTCCCCATAGTTCTCCTTAGGGTAATGGGAGGACACAAACTAGCGTCCTCCCGTCACCCTAAGCTCAGTATACCGCGAGCTACAGCTCGCGGTATACTGAGACACCGCAGCAGAAGCGGATCCCGACAATTATGTCTGGATCCGCCCAACTGCGTGAGTGACAGCTGGCTTTGCCTATTTAGAGGCAGAGCCAGCTGTACCTGCCCCGTCCGTTCCGCCAGTCAGCGCTGGAGGATTGGAGCGGGTAAGGGGGGAATCCAGCCACTCTCCTGTCACGGCAGAGAGCTGTGACAGGATCGAGAAGTGAGAGTACGCGGGTATGTGTTCGCTCACTTCCCGATCTACTGAGCCGACCTGTGACAGTCTCATTGTCACAGGTCGGCTAGAACTATGAGGTGAGTGAAAAGCACTCGCCTCATAGGTCTCCTTTAACCATTTGTTAGGACAGACAATGTTCAATTCTATTTTACAACTGACAGTGAGAATGAGATCTGCCAGCACATTTCTGACGGGATTTAATATGCTGCAAATGTGAAAATACACTTTAAACTCTGGCAGGAGCACTGTAGGATTTTTACCAACTTGCATGTGCTGAAACTTGGTTTGGAGTAGTGTTACCTGGCAACCTTTGAACGATGGGCATGGTGTAGCAGTGCTGGCTTCAATAGGTAAACCTTTTGGTTGCTTTTAGCTTGTTAGCATCAGGAAGTAAATAAGGGGCTCAACTGTGTAATTTTCAATTTTAAAAGGCCTCACAAACTGATTGGCTAGGATGGCTATTGTAGATAGAAGTAAGAGAAAAATCAGCTCTGCTAAAAAACAAAGCATGTGGCACCTTTTGAATGATGAGTTAAAGAATTGTAGGGCTGCAACTAATGATTATTTTCATAATCAATTAGTTAGCCAATTATTTTTTCGATTAAATCGGATAAAGAAAGCATTTAAATGTTTAATTATTTCATAATTATTTAGTTCATTATTAATTTAAAAAATAGTTAATAAATAAATGAATAAGTACTATTAGTTATTTTTTAAATAATTATTTCATGGACATATCATATTAATTCTTTCTGCACAGCTGCTCATCCCTGACATACGAGCATGGGAGAGGACATTGCTAGACACACTGCATGCAAAGCTCCATTCACCGCCACTTTCCTTTGCTGTGTGCAGCTCCGTATGCAGTGTGTCACAGGCTTCACTGGCTTTAGGGCCGGTTCACACCGTCTCCAGTGCGTTCCGGCACGGTTAGTGACCAGAACGCACTGGATTCCACAGCGGAAGTATCCTTGTGTTCTGGGCAGGAGGGGAACGTGCCGGTGTCTTTCAAGACGATGGCACCACGGACACACAAACCCACCCGCAGTGTGATTGTCCGCAACAGAATGCATGGCACAGCAATGCCCACAAAAAATTGTGAATGACTGCCACACTCCCTCCTGCCCCAGAACTCAGGGAGGCTTCCACTATGCGATCCAGTGCGTTCTGGCCACTAACCGTGCCGGAACACTCTGGAGATTATATACCACTGACTTCACTCACTGCACGAACACACATGGTACACATACAACACAAATTACACATACTGTACACATGCAACACATAATATGCACACATTACACATACAGCACACACAGCACACATACAACACATTGTGCACACATAGTATACATACAACACATAGTACACATGTATGTTGTAACGCAGTGCACACGTAGTACACATAAAACATATTTTACACACATAGTACACATACAGCACATAGTACACACTACTTACACTGGTTGTACATCTCTATTCACGTCCACTATGAGCAGCCCAGAGAGGATGAGGAAGTTGAGACATAGGGGAGGTCACCGAATGGTCAGTCTGCGCTCACCGGGACTCCGGGTGATGCTGGGAGGAGCAGGCGGCTGAGGCATGGGGAATGCCGCAGGTCCCAAATGGGAACAATCACCGAGCGCTCACCAGGACTTCGGGTGATGCCAGGATGGCCCTATTCATCCCCTCAGTCTACTATGAGCAGCTCGGGGAGAAGGAGAGGAGGAGCTGTGGGTCCTTGGGCAGTGTCCGTCACAATAGTCAGGTTGTGCTCACAAGCATGCGAGTGAGGCAGGTAGGGGGAGGGAGTGAGGGTGCAATGTGACCAATTAATCATTGTTGATAACCATTATTATTATCCATTATTATCGACTTTATCGATTAGTTGTTTCAGTCCTAAAGAATTGTATTTTCCAATAAGAAAGCACTCATGGCATATAATGGGATGAGTTATAAGTGAGAGTTTAAACTGGATGCCTCCAGTGCTCTGAGCTTCCCCTATAGAAGGTATTGTTCAATGCAATATTTTTCACAAGCAGATTTGTTGCAAAAATAGTGTGATGTAATAGCATAATTTCTTGATGAATCTATTAAAATGTTAAACTGTCAGGAATTAAAAAATGGATGTAGAAAGTGAGTGGCATCCATGAGTGAGGTAGGCAGCAGGTAGAACTCTGAAATAAAGTTTTCTAACACTCTTTCAGTGTTTGTAATTGACAGAGGAGGATAGTTTTTTCCTCAACCAAATCTATTATATTAGGCAGACTGCACTATCATTTTATTCCTTAAGTACAAATGGTAGCCTTTCATATATATCTTTCATAAAAGATAATGTATGGATGAAACCTATCAAATGTTAAATAAAGAATGAATGCAATGGACCTGCTAATAAATCAATGCATTGTATTGTTAATTTTTTATATTTGTGCATGCTAACCTCAAATGCTTATACTACTCACTCTGTGTCCTGTTAGGAGGGTGGAGAACTTGTGGTGGAAGGTCTTCTGAATATATCTTGGGGTCTACGGCGCCCAATAAGACTACAGGTGCAAGATGTCAATGAGAGAATATGTTTTAGCTCTTCAGAGGCCTGGAGCAGGGAGTCACAAGGAAAACACAGGTAAACATTTAAAATTAATTAATATGATTACCAACACATTCCTGAAATTCACAGCAAAAAATATAAGCAACCTTTAACTCTGTCAACAATTTCCATCAGGCCCACTTTACTATCAGTGTTTGACTGAGGTTCCAGCTGGCAGCATATGGCTGTAAATATGGTCTGATGGACCTGTCTGTGGGGAGAGAATTGACAGTGTTTACCCAAACATATCATTCCTCATTATTATTTTCTTCTATCTCCCGCTGGGAAGCTTTTCCCCACCGTACAAAGTTGTTCCTTTTTCCAACCCCTATTTCACTGCTATATCCTGTATTAACATTCGGATCAGAGGAAGGATCCATCATGACACAAGCATTCAACTCTCCTAAAAGTGTGGATTGCTGAAGAGACTGACAGAGGTTGTAGAGCTGAAACAAAGCAAAGGTAGAAGATGTGGGCTGCCAGAAAGGTGAATACAACAACTTCCCAATTGGGTCACTTGACCCAATCCAAAACTAAGACAAAAAAGGTTTGGAAGCAGTTTGCTTTCAGTATGAACTCAGAGTGCCAACTCTACTATTTTAACAGGTTTCATACCTTTTTAATGTTAAAATAATTGGTGGGTGTGCTGCTCTGAAAATTGGGATGAACTTGATTTTATATCATATATTTATACATATATATATATTCACTGACTATCACTTTAGTATGCTTATAATGATTGCAAACACTTATCTAAATTTTTGATTACATGCTGGTTTGTTAACACGTATTTGACTCACCCTATTGGTGACCCCGAGCGCTGCACACCCATGTCTGTATTATTGGATGGATCCCTCTCTCAGCTGCGCTGTTATGGAGATTACAGGAAATGTAAATACATTTTTGAATGTCATTGGAGCAGGGGCTGTAAGCACTGCTATAGCCTGGACACTGGAAGCATTCTTTCCAAATAAACAGATGTCTTTTACCCTATATTATAAATTCAGCCCTAGCAGACTCCGCAATAACCTGTTGTTAGGAAATGTTGCATGTTGCAGTGTTTTTTTGGGGGGGGAGGGGGGGAAATATATAACCATTATTTTCACAAATCAAGAAACACAGATGGTGAGAATTTGGTATTTTCTTCTAGTAATTGATACATGTATAATAATATGATGGGTGAATTCCATGTCTGCAAAGTAAAAATAGATCAATAATAATAGATGAAGTCTATTATTCTTGGTAAGACACTGCAGTACATTGAACCAAGATAAGATGGACCGTGGTATTTCAGATGTGTCTATAAAACCTCCAGTTAATGTGATTAGGAAGTTACTCAATAACTGGGATAACTACAAGGACTATAAGTATCTGAACTCCTTCACAAAAGCCTTATGCTCCCCTTTTAACAGAGAAAAGAACGCAACAGTACAGTCTATAACCATTTGGAAGTGTGTTTTTATTGGTCAAAGATTTATTTTTTTTTATAATTTTTTCATTGAATGTGTTTTGCTGTGGTTGTGTATCTGAAAAAATGCTTTAGTGGCTGTAAAGTCAAAAATAGATTGGTTGTTTGTTCATAGGTTTCTGCCTCATATGATGTAGGCACTTTAACCCAAACCCTGGTACTAAATGATGCACAAGTAACAAATTAATTAAGAGAAGCATAACAAAATACAATGAAGGGAATTTATCAAAACTGGAGCAGACAAAATCTGGAGCAGCTGTGCATGGCAACCAATCAGCCTCTCTTTCATTTTCAAATCTTAACTGACGAGAGAAGCTGACTGTTTGCCATGCATGGCTGCTCCAGATTTTGTCTGCTCCAGTTTTGATAAATTCCCCACAATGTCTAGAGAGGTAGTCCAGAAAGTCAATATGGCAAGTTAAGAAAATGAAGTCCATTGGTACAGGGCTCTCTGGGGGGGAGGGCAGGTGTAATGAGGCAACGGGTTTGGGTAGTGTTTGTCTGGTGTGCAGCTTCTAGTTAGTACGGACCGGGGTGTCCGACTTGTGTGAGCGAAGGAACAAAAAGGCAGAGGAAGAACGGGATAATGATGTTAATTCAATATTGTACATGGATATTTGTGTGGTCGATATCGTTTTCCGGATGGCGTTGGTATAAATCGGGATGAGGGGAGAAAAAGATGGTGCAAGTGAATCTCAAGCAATAAATAGGACAAAGTGTGAACATGTAGAGACTCACCAAGAGGTTCTTAAAGATGTGATGTTATCGACGAGGAAAGTCTTACGCTGTTTCCGATGCTGGAGATGATGTTTGACGGATTCCTTTCGAACGATATTGGTCTGATGGTCACAGGAGGATTTTAGGGTTTGAATAGCGAGTGTCAAGGTCTTCCTGTAAGAGGTTTGATTCCACTTGAGAAGGTGCAGCTGAGAGTAGAAATCTTCGACTGTGAAGGGTTCAACTTGTTTCATCGTTTGTTGGTATGTCCATTTGAGGTTTGTGTGCAGCAGTCGGTCGTGCTTATAGCCGATTGTGGTCTGCTCGTGGGTTTTGCTGATGAGCGGAAGCCTGGCACCAACTTGGAGTGCTGATGGTACTAGGACGAGGGGTGGAGCAGGACCCGATCCTCGGGAGTCCTGTCAGCAGGTAGGACAGGGACGTCAGACCCAAATGGTACGCAGGCTGTGTGTGGGGAGAGGAGTGAGTCAGCCCACGGTGCAGGAAATGTTTGTGGCAGAGGTTTGAGGAGGTTGAAACAGTGGTGTCAGCGTGGCTGTGGACTATGTGACAGATCGCTGCCGGTGTTCCCCGTCTGGGGAAGTGGCAGCAGAGCTGAGGAATGTCCACCACTCACGAGCAGGGAGTCTGCCTGCGATACGGGGGAGGTGGTTGTGAGCAGTGCTGGATGGAGAAAAATGACAGCAGTGTGGAAAAAATTATATAAATTGTAGGAAAACAACAAGTGTGAACAGTGTGTGTGTCTGCTTTTAATGGCAACGCATTTCACAGAGTATATCTTCTTTATCAAACCAGTCCAGAAAGTTAATATGTAGCAAAATGAGTCCAATGCTGGTAGACATGTGCACCGGCAAAAAAATTGTTTTGTTTCGTCTTGATTCAGATTTTGCGTTATTTCATTTTTCGGGATTCGGGTCCGAAATTGAACTCGTTTCGAGATTCGGAAAAATTAATTAGCGGTAGTCCGGTCGAAGTTTCGTTTTCGTTTCGTTCATTCGTTGCAGCAAAGTGACATTGGGGGAAAACAATTGTTATTTTTTTTTAGTCTGCAGAAGAGGAAAAAAAAAAGTGTGAGGTTCCCCTCCATTCACTAAAGGGTTAAATAAAATAGTTATTAAAAAGTCCAGGCTTTTGCAAAGCAGAGCTAAATGTAGAAAACAAATTACCGGCCGGCGCCCGGAATTCCATGTTCTGGGCATGGGTGTGCCACCCCTCTGCTCAGTGCCGCCCCGAGGCCGGGCTTCGGTGGCCTTGCCGGGAATCCGGCCCTGATAGCATCACTGTGTTTACCCTTAATCATTCTTCCAGTGACTTCTGACCAGCTGATCATTGTTCATATTTGTTGCACTGCCAGTAAAATCTCTTAAGAATGGCTTTTACAATTATGTGTAATATCACATGGCAAGACAGCAGCTAAATATTACATTAGTCTATAAAAATAAAAAAAATAAAAAAGTATTTTGAGTAAAACCTTACACAAAACACATTTAGGGTTATGCTTGACTGGATAAAATAAAAATCGCATTGGGTGCAAGCTTCCCTTCCAACTCATGCTAAAACAGAGCATAAGTACCCTTCTCTTCTCTGCTACTGACTACCACTATGACAAAATCTCACCCCTGTTCTGCCCTGACCTGGCTACTTCTGTCTACAACAGCTCGCTCTCATCCTCCCTAGACACCTTGGCTCCCCTCACTACATGCAGACTTTGACCACGTCAACTACAACCGTGGCAAACTAAAGAAATCAGACATCTAAAAAGACATAGCCATGCTCTGGAACGACTGTGGCGGAAAACTAGGTCTCTGCAAGACTTTACCCTGTATAAAGCTGCCCTCCTAAAATATCCTTCCTCCGTGCTGCCAAACATGCTAAAGGTGCCCATACACCTTACAATTTATCTGCAGATTTTCTGTGGTCAGATGGAAAAAGTGCAACAGATTGGCCCAGGCGGAGATTACTCCATCCACACAGTTAAGTGTAGATGGAGGAATCTGTTGCACGTTTTCCATATGACCACAGAAAATCTGCAGATAAATTGTAAGGTGTATGGCCAGCTTTATTTTGTAACTCTCAATAACACACCCTCATCCAGACCATGTCAACTCTTTTCTACTTAACTCTCTACTATGTCCGCCACCGCCCACTAACTCACTCACTGCCCAGGACATTGCTATTCATTTAAAAAACAAAATATATACAATTCGGGATCAGATCACCACTGTCTAATCAACTTCCCCTATTAATGTACCAGACCCACCATCACACTTGTTACTTTCCTCTTTTGACCCAGTCACCACAGAGGAGGTTACAAAGCTTTTCTCTGACACCCACCTCACCACTTACCCACTGGACCCAGTTCCTTCACCACTACTTCGGTCACCCTCTTACTCTATCCTACACTCTCTTACTCATATTTTTTATCTTTCACTCTGTACTGGCATCTGTCCCTCCCTTCTAAAGCATGCGCTAGTCACCCCAATACGCCAAAAACCCTCACTGGACCCTACCAACCTTAACAAACTTCTAGAACGCCTTATCTACAGCCGTCTGAGCCTCCACCTCGCTGATAACAACCTTCTCGACCCCTTACAGTCCAAACTCACTAATGACTTACTAACAGCTAAAAACAATGGCCACTACTCCTTACTCTTGCTATTGGACCTTTCTGCTGCTTTTGACACTGTTGACCACCTGCTCCTCCTCAAAAAAAACTCCACTCGCTTGGCCTACAAGACTCTGCTCTCTCATGGTTCTCCTCCTACCTATTTAAGCGCTCCTTTAGTGTCACCTACAAATCTAACTCCTCCCCTCCTCTTTCTCTTTCTGCTGGGGTCCCCCAAAGGCTCTGTCCTTGGACCCCTCCTTATCTACACTTCCTCCCTTGGTCAGTTAATAACCTCACATAGCTTCCAATACCGTCTCTATGCTGATGACACTCAAATCTATCTTTCTACTCCACAACTCACCCCCTCAGTGTCCTTGCGTGTCACTAACTGACATATCGGTCTGGATGTCACAAAAACTCAACCTTTCAAAAACTGAGCTCATGATATTTCCTCCCGCCTGTGCACCTTCCTCCAACTTTTACTTTGAGATTGATAACAGAACTATCCAACCATCCCCTCATGCCAAGGTGCTAGGTGTCATCCTTGACTCGGACCTCACCTTTCTTCCCCACAATCAATCACTATCCAAATCCAGCCGCCTTCACCTTCGCAACATCACCAAAATACGCCCCTTCATCACCAATAGTACTCATCCACTCACTTGTTATCTCTCGTCTTGACTATTTGCAACTCCCTCTTCATTGGCTTACCTCTACACAGGCAATCCCCCCTTCAGTCTATCATGAATGCTGCTGCTAGACTCATTCACCGAACCAACCGCTCAGTTTTTGCAACATCCCTCTGCCAATCCTTGCACTGGCTTCCAATTGCCTAAAAGGATAACATTCTAAATATTAACAATGACTTACAAAGCCATCCACAACTCTGCCCCTGGCTATATCTCAAACCTTGTCTCAAAGTATCACCCTAACCGTCCCCTCCGCTCTTCAAAAGACCTTCTGCTTTACAGCTCCCTCATAAACTCCTCCGATGCTCACCTCCTCTGATGCTATCTCCCACTCTGACTGCCTTTAGGCGATCCCTTAAGACACATCTCTTCAGGGAAGCCTATCCCCACCTCAACCTAACCGCTCAACCATCACGCTCTCAAACAATTCATCCCCACACAACTACCTCCTCATGTATCACTTGCCCCTCCCTTTTAGATTGTAAGCCCTCGGGGGCAGGGCCCTCCTTACCATCTTTTCTTGAATTGTATTGTGATTGGAATGTCTTACTTATATTGTAAAGCGCTGCGCAAACTATATAAATCCTGTATTATAATAATAATTATAATAACAATAATACCCAGTAAAAATTTGGCTGATTACCCAGATGACCTATGTATATTTGTTTCCACAGAAAGAAAAAAAATACTGCACAGCTATTCAATTGTTCTATTTAAACTATTCTTGTTTTGCTACTAAGAAATGAGCCGCGTAATGGATTTTATTTTAAATATAAGATAGTTATGTAATTCACTTTTAGACTTGTTTTATCAAACACAAAACAGTTCCAGATTTTAATTCAACTTTATTTCACAGTTAAAGTTTTAGAATAATGTATTTATAGATGGACATATGCAAACCTAGTTATGACTCTATATTCCACAAAAATGGAGCCAATTATTTCTTAAATTATCTTGGGGGCCTATTGACCCTTGACCTTATTAGAGAAGTTGACATTGTTTAATTGGTGCGCTTTCTGTTTTTCTATATAATGAGTGTAAATTGAATTATTTAACTATTTCCATAATAGATTGCCTTGAGTTCATCCATTTCATAACTGTAGCCTCAAGAGCTAGGAAAAGCACCTCCCAATATTCTAGGATAATGAGGCAGCTGATCTTCATTAGGGAATCCAGATAAACTGCAAGTATCCTAATAATTCAGAAATAAATAACAACATTATTTTCCACAAAGATTAGTGATAACAGAGCAACTACTGAGCAAGTGCATAAATTCAGCTTGTAGATTGCAAAACTGATGGCAACTTAACAACAAGCTCTTGCATCCATACTGATTTTAGTACTGCTCCAACAACACAGTTCCAGCTCTGGCGATTAAAAAAACCAATGAACTATTTTCTGACATCTTTAAAAACATGTCTACTTAAGATGAAGAACAGTGGAAGGTGGTTCTAGCACATGAGATAGTGTTAACTGTGCAACTTTAGTTTGAAGTAGGGCTGTTAATGCCCAGGGCTATGCAAAGCTTGTTCTAAGGTTAGATTTAACAATATGCCCATTGTGTTGAACAATCATGGGCTTGACTAAACAACCAGGATAAGTGATAATTCAGTAGATTGGATTGGTAAACAGCATCTAGATAACTGTAATTTAGCTAAAGCTATTCTAGGCTTATGTTCTTTCATTATAAAAAGAGGGACTAGCTCAGTAGAGTTTCACAGAATCTTGTAGCACAAAAAAAAGGGTACAGTTTATAGGGGTTATAAAAGCCTCACAGAATGTATTGTTTGGATTAGAAAAAGTGTTACCGAGATCACCTAGAGAGGAGGGGGGCCTGCATAATTTTATCTCTAGCTCTTTAGTATGCTTGACAGCCTCTGGACACCAGGCTTACCCATCCAGTGTATAACTATTTAGGAGGATACAGAAGAAAATCTCGCATTCTGATTTGCCTATACAGAAGCCCTAAAAAGCTGCCCATTTCCATAGTTATGTAAAGTGTTTGTTGCAGCTGACCCTGAGGATCAGCTGAAAACAGAAGTATGTTGTCAAACCATACAGTTATGCTTCATTTCTTATCTGTTCATACTATAAGCAATATTTTAGAGTACAGGGTTGTCTGATACATTTCAAAGCCCAACAAAAGTACCATTTGATTATTTTTGACCATCAGTCATCATCAATTACTAATTTTAGAAAACATAAAAGTATGTTTTCTTTGTTTAATTTCGAAAAAGCTTATATCAAAAACCAACAAAATGTTAACCCTCTTTCTGCAGCTACCACAGCTCAGGAAATTATTATATACAACCCCCTACAAAATTCCAACTTTATACTATAAGCTGCCCCAGATTTACTGTATATGCACATACTAAAAGCAAAGCTCAACCTACAGAACAACATGGCCATGTGTCAAGACAAACTAAAAAAATTATCTATTTATCAGTCTGTATAAATGTGCCAGCTGTTTCCTAAATTCTATACATTTGCTTTCAATTCTTTACTTTCAGCATAGCATTACCTGTTGCAGAACAGCAGAGCAATAAAGAAGAAAAAAACAACAATTCTTCTGGTAGAAGTAAGTAATCTCCTTTTGTATGTTTTATTTATTGCACTCCGTTACAACCTATGGCAGTGGCAATGTATTTGAAGCAAGCAAGGGTCCACTGGAGGATCCACCAGTCAGTGAAAAAATACCTGTGAAGAAAACTAATGAAGACAGCACATCTACAGACTATAAAGCTGCAATATAATAAATTTTTGTTCTTAGGTTTAGGTACACTGGAGAGCTGTTAGCTATTAGTCCTGTGATTAAAGCTCTTCTTTGTTTTTTGTTTTTTTCTTAGTTCCATTGTTAGCTGTACCAACTTAAAAGAACATTAAATGATAATAAATGCAAAAGGTTTTTAGCCAAATGCTTACAATGGATGCTGCTCCTGGATGTTTAAAAAGCATTGACCTGATATCCTGTTTTATGGTGGCTCCTCTTCCTCTCAAGGTCCTATTGTGCGTGCTAGTAAGTTGCGTGTGTGTCTCCACAAACTTAGAAGCACAGCAAGGCAAACCACTCCCTTTGCTCCCTGCTCCCCTCCTCCCTCTTCCCTCCTCAAAGCTAGTAGATCGAGAGCTGCTAGAGACTGTGCTGTCCCTTGTGATCTTGTACTGGACAGGAAGTTTAGGGAAGAGGAGCTAAGAGAGTTGGAGTCAGCTGTTTAGATACGTGATGACTGTAAGTTCTTGGGCAAACATTTAAAGAAATACTTTGCTAGGCAATGTATATATATTTAACTTGGATTCATTATTGAAAAAAAAAATTTGAGAGTTTAATATTACTGTAGGAAAAGTAGATTTTAGGTGAACAATTGTCAAGACAACTTTTTCTAAAGGCAAATTAACTAGCAAATAAACATGGACTGTGGTTTAGTGGAGAAACTGTTAAAGAAGAACTCTGGGCAAACATTTCTTAACCATGGCAGTGGGGCTACAGGTGCTAAAATAAACGTTATACCCACCCAATCCACGGAGCCAGTTGGCTCTTAGACCGGTCTCTTCCAGTCTCTCTCCCCCTCTGTTGCAGCAGCCTAAGGTCCCATGGCCAGTGTATAGGATGTGAGGATGCAGAGGGACATACCATCAATGCAGCAGAGGACGGGACAGGCTAGAGGGAGCGCTGTCACAGCCAGCCAGCTGCAAGGCTACTTCGTGGGAGTATAATTTTGTTTTTTTTGCACTTAGACCAAAATGAGCACTTAGCCCCATTGCAAGGGTTAAGAAAAGATTTGCCTGGACATTGGAAAGATGCTTGTTACTAGGGATGTCCCGATGCCACTTTTTCGGGCCCAAGTACAAGTACTTCCCAAGTACAAGTACTTGGATCATGATTTAACCTATTCATGTTAGCAGCTGAGAATTGTAACTCTATTGCTGGAGTGTAGTGGAGGTATGTGCTGTATATATGTACTACATATACATTACACACATCCAGTACACTATAGCAATAGATTTACAGCCATCCCCGTCCCAGCTTCCTTCACTCACAGTTTCACTCCGATCCCTGTTGCCTCACGCGGTGCCTCTCGTAGGGCAGGATCGCTGCATCGCATCTCGGTGCTCAGCTTGTGGGAGGCGCTCACAATTCTGCCCTGCTAACATGAATGGGTTAAATCATGATCCGCAGTACATATGTCCTGTACACTGCAGTAATAGAATTACAATTCTCCCCTGCTAACATGCATAGGTTAAATCATGATCCATAGTACATAATAGTACATAACATGTAGTTGTACTATGGATCATTTAACCCATTCATGTTAGCAGGGGATCATTGTAAATCTAATGCTGCAATGTACGGGACATTTGTGCTGTATATGTACAGTGCATATAGATATACAATTCTGCACTGCTAACATGAATGGGTTAAATGATCCGTAGTACAGGGCTACATATCATGTACTATGGATCATTTAAGCCATTCATATTAGCAGAGGATAATTGTAAATCTATTGTTGCAGTGCATGCTATATGTCGTATATAGTACTTGTACATATAGAGTGCCTGCAACAATACATTTACAATTATACTCTGCTAACATGAATGGATTAAATGATCCCTAGTACAGGGCTACATAAAGATCATTTAATCCATTCATGTTAGCAGAGTATAATTGTAAATGTATTGTCTGCACTGTATGAGCAGTGTGTACTCTATATGTACTCTATATGTAGTACATATAGAGTATATACTGCTAATACATCTAATACAGTGCAGAGAATACATTTACAATTAAACTGTGCAGCATAATAGTGTGTCCCCCCCCTTGCCCTCACTTACTGTGCCGGAGAGAGCAGCGACGAGCCAGTGCTGGTCCAGTGGGAGGAGCTCCAGGTGGGGTCCTAATTTAGCTGGCTCAGAGGTGCCAGCCAGCTAAATTAGAATCCCACCTGTAGCTCCTCTCTTACCTCGCCGAGTGTCGCGTCACTGCTGCTCCGGTGGGAGCGGCGCTCCAAGCGGGGTCATCTGGCAGTCCCCGGCCACCTAAATTAGGGCCCCACCTGGAGCTCCGCCCACCGGAGCAGCAGTGGCGCTGCGCTCAGGGAGGTAAGTAAGAAAAAAAAAACAGCGCAAGCTTCGGCGCTAGGAATCGGGGCATTTTGACAAGTACAAGTACTTGTCAAAATGCCCTGTATCGGGCCCGATTCCGATGCTAGCATCGATATCGGGACATCCCTACTTGTTACACATCTTTTATAAGATTAATTTCAAGATATATGTACATATCACAGTGCTTGACATTTTTATTCTATGATTTGCTCAAACTAAGATTTTTTATTTTTACACAAAAACAGTAAATATATTGCTTGACATCTGAAACTTTTATAGGAGGACTCGTTTTCAGTAATATATTTCATGGGATGCTACTGTATTTATTAGGATATACACTCAGTGGCCGCTTTATTAGGTACACATCTACAACTGCTCGTTAACACAAATATCTAATCAGCCAATCACATGGCAGTAAAGCAATACATTTAGGCATGTAGACATGGTCAAGATGGTCTGCTGAAGTTCAAACGGCACATCAGAGTGGGGAAGAAAGGTGATTTAAGTGACTTTGAACATGGCATGGTTGTTGGTGCCACGCGGGCTGGTTTGAGTATTTCAGCAACTGCTGATCTACTGGGATTTTCATACACAATCATCTCTAGGATTTACAGAGAATGGTCAGAAAAAGAGAAAATATCCAGTGAGCGGCAGCTCTATGGGCAAGAATACCTTGCTGATGCCAGAGGTCAGAAGAGAATAGCTAGACTGGCTCAAGCTGATAGAAAGGCAACAGTAACTCAAAAAACCACTGGTTACATCCGAGGTATGCACAAGAGCATCTCTGAACACACAACACATTGAACCTTGAAGCAGATGGGCTACAGCCACAGAAGACCACACAGAGTGCCACTTCTGTCAGCTAAGAACAGGAAACTGGGATCACCAAAATTGTAGACTAGAAGATTGAAAAAACGTTGCCTGGTCTGATGAGTCTCCATTTCTGTTGCGACATTCGGATGGTCGAACATGAAAGCATGAATCCATCCTTCCTTGTATCAACGGTTCAGGCTGGTGGAGCTTCACATCATGGATGTGCAGCCGACAAATCTGCAACAACTGTGTGATGCTATCATGTCAGTATGGACCAAACTCTCTAAAAAAAGGTTTCCATCACCTTGTTGAATCAATGCCAGGAAGAATTAAAGCAATTTAATTCTGAAGACAAAAGGGGTACAACCCAGTACTAGCAAGGTGTACCTAATAAATTGGCCAGTGAGTATTTCTTTCAAATTCAGTAAATGTCCAGCTTATTATCTGAGCTTTTGGTCTCAATTTATTTATTACCAGATCCAGGTGAAGAGGAAACAACACCTCAGCTGAAGCGGACTAGAAGTGATGCCAGCTTTGTGCAGAGACGGTCAAAGCACTACAGTCCTGAAGAGATGCAAAGATTGAGAAGTAACAGGTTCTCTATCAATGGCCATTTCTATGATCATAAGGTAAGCAAGAACAGTACCCATCTCCTGATCTCCACAAATTTGAGGTAACTTTTTTCTAAGCAGTCTATGGAGGTAGTTCTTAATTCTTTTAATGGATACCATCTGTAGGTGTCACCCATAGTTTCTGGGCTTTCATTTGTATAGCATCAAAGTTTAACTTGTTTAATAAAGCTCTGTATTTTTGTATAATCAAACTTGGAAGCTAGATGCCAATAACAGCCTGAGGTCAGCATGATGTTTGAATGGTGTAAACCAGGGGTCCTCAAACTTTTTAAACATGGGGCCAGTTCACTGTCCCTCAGACATTGCTGGGGGCCGGATCATAGTTTGAAAATGGGGGGGGCGTGGCTGTGGTGCCGCACCGCCACGCCCCCTCCCGTACCAGAACAAACTTTTTTTTTTACATTATGTTAGGAAACATTTATTATCACCCAATTTTTTGGTAAAATATAAAAGTCGGGGTCACGTCGGGTAAATAGACACCAAAAATGTCAAGCTTACAAATTGCGCGCACTCGCAAAAAGACACCACAGCCAAAATTGACCATAGGCGACGCTTTAAAAGCTTTTACTGCTCATCAGTTTAGTGTTATCAGTGATTGATGACCCTAAAATTATTGCTCTCACTGCGACGTTCGTGGCGATATGTAACATGTGCGGCGTAATGGGCACAATCGTCGTTTTTGCAGGTATGCGCACCTGACGCATGTTTGCATGCGTGTATGTATGGGGGGACTTTAAACAAAATATTTGTTTTTTAATTCTTTTTTATGTGTAAGTTTAAAACATTTTTTGGGAAACTTTAATTTTTTTTCCACCTAACTTTATTGCTATCACATAGGGGGGTTAGAAAACCCCCAGTCAGTGTGGCACTGTGCTGGTCCCGGGCTCGCACCGGAGCCCGGGATCAGCGTGACAACGGGAGGAGGGTCAGCGGAGGGATGGGGACACACGGGCCGACCGCCCATACAAGCGATCCGCCGGCTCTATAGCCGGCGGATTGCTTGTATGTTAACGGGCATCGCTGCCTGTTTTTAAATTGGCTGTATTTCCCGCTCGCACGCGCCGCATAACGCGCTAGTGGGCGTGGCTGATCTAGGGATATATATATATATATATTGAAGAAGGAGTGGGAATCTGGTCAATGTCCACGCATGCAGCAATCAGCCAGCAATAAATCACTATAGTAGTGATCTGCTGTTGCAGGTAAGGGCTGCTTCAGCTCTGCCCAAAAGCCTCCATATTGTCATGATTTCACATGTGATGTAAATTCACATCAAATTTAGATTCACATCACATTCGCCTTCCACTACACAGGCTATCCCCCCTTCAGTCTATCATGAATGCAGCTGCTAGACTCATCCCCCTAACCAACTGCTCAGTGTCTGCAACCCCCCTCTGCCAATCCCTGCACTGGCTTCCTATAGCCCAAAGGATAAAATTCCAAATATTAACAATCAGTTACAAAGCCATCCACAACTCTGCCCCCGGCTATATCTCAAACCTGGTCTCAAAGTATCACCCTAACCGTCGGCTCCGCTCATCCTAAGATCTCCTGCTTTCCAGCTCTCTTGTCAACTCCTCCCATGCTCGCCTCCAGGACTTCTCTAGAGTTTCTCCCATCCTCTGGAATTCTTTACCCCAACCTGTCCGTCTGTCGCCCACCTTGACTGCCTTTAGGCGGTCCCTAAAGACTCATCTCTTCAGGGAAGCCTATCCCACCTCAACCTAACCGCTCAACCATCACGTTCTCAAACAATTCATCCCCACGCAGCTCCCTCCTCATGTATCACTTCCCCATCCCTTTTAGATTGTAAGCCCTCAGGGGCAGGGCCCTCCTTCCCATCTGGTCTTGAATTGTATTGTTATTGTAATGTCTTCCTTATATTGTAAAGCGCTGCGCAAACTGCTGGCACTATATACTGTAAATCCTGTATAATAATAATAATAAATGCAAACAGATGTAAAGCCATATTTCCAGATAGATGGATAGATTACTGTGCAGAAGTTTTAGGCAGGTGTGAACAATTGCTGTAAAGTAAGAATGCTTTGGAAAATATATATTTGTATTGTTTTTAACAATTTACAAAATGCAGAGTGAACAGAAGAAAGATCTAAATCAAATCAATGTTTGGTGTGACTACACTTTGGCTTTACACCAGCATCAATACTTACACTTTTTTGTAGGATTAGAGTCAGGTGTATGATTAACCAATTAAACCAAGCAGGTACAGCCAAACTCTGCTACTAAGGTGAGGATGTGGAAGACCGTTTCATGTCACAGGTCATGCACCATAGCAAGACTGAGCACAGCAACAAGACATAAGGTAGCTATACTGCATCAGCAAGGTCTCTACCAGGCAAAGATTTCAAAGCAGACTTGGGTTTCATGCTCTTTTGAAGAAGCACAAAGAAATGGGCACCATTGAGGACCATAGACACAGTTATCTGCCAAAGAAACACACACATCATGCTTATTTCCCTTAGACAAATCGGAAAATGTCTAGCAGTGCCACCAGCACTGAAGTGGTGGAAACCATTGGCACCCAGGTATACCCATTACTGTCCATAAAAGTCTGGCCGGAAGTGGTCCTCATGGAAGAATTGCAAGTCTACATGTATTTATGTACAAAAATATGGTGATCAGGGCAATCAGGTGTGCCGTACCTTTCCAAGAGCAATTTGCTAACCAATTGCTGACCAGAATGAGCGAAGCGCACTTTCACTATCGATTCCTCACAGGCGGAGTGATACCACTCCGTCTGTAACAGGAGGCGGCGCTATAGAGGAGGCATTGGCTTATGCAGCTCTGCTCCCTCCGTTGCCGCCTCGCTTGCTTCCTCTAACGCTGGCTTTGTTGGCACCACTGATTCTCTCCTGCCTCTCCCGCAGCTCTTCAAGTTCCCTCTTATGCCACCACTGGCCCCGGGAATGGTCACAACTAGGTCTTTTTTTTCGGGGTAGGTCTTATATTTTAGCAAGTCCCAAAAATAGTACTAGGTCATATTTTCGGGGTAGGTCTTATTTTCAGGAAACCAGGGTATATAT